CGCCGTTTACGTGTGGACGAAAGGTGCAAACGCATAGAAAAATCTGCGTTTTCAAAAATACCCGGGTACGTGTGGACGTAGCCTAAATAATATCATCATTTCAAAATGCATTTTGTATTTAATCAGTTTATCATTGTCAAAAATGAAAATTTGTTTGATGAATTTGTAACTGTTACAAATTTGCAAAAAACTAAGAAATCGAGAAGGTGGCAAATACTTTTTAGCAGCACTGTGTGTGAGTCACTATCTAACCTAATCCACCTCGAGAATACAAGAAGTCTACGTGTGCCGCCTTTCTTTTTGTTGTAATGATCTCCAGAGCTGAGAGTTGTACACAGACACAAGAGACTCGTCAGTATTACACCCCATGATTCAACAGCTAGAACAACCTTAAGAACGAATAACTTAATATTTCCTTAATGACTTTCTAAGCCACTGTACGAGGATTTATAGAGGCGCTCACACTTTCTGCTCTTCAGTTAATCAAGTGTGTTTGATTAGCAGCACCTGGCTGCCACTTACCCTCTCAGTTCCTATGGAGGCAGCGACTGATGTCAAATAAATAATGACACAGTGCACATGTTTTGTAGTCCATCTGAGTTTGTATTTACCTCATTCAAAGACCGGATGTATGCACCAGATGTGTAAAACTTTCTTTTCACCCTGACTGTGCACATCAGCAGTTGCTTGTCGATGGATCGATGGTTGCCAGTTTGAAAATTTGAACATATTATCCAACCCCTCTGGTCAGCTCTATTGCATCTGTAACCATAACCAGCGCTCACCTCATGGTTACACTAACATCCTGGATAAAACGATCTACACCATGGAAAAGTGAGTGATGAATAAAGAAACACTACTTAACTTACACCTCTGTGTCGTAACTAAACACTAAGATTGGGAGACTGGCATTTTTTGCAACACATAGATTCAATAAGTCAGGTTCCTCTTTAAAACAGAAAAGGTCAGAAACAAGCATTTTGCGAGGTGTGAAGCCCTATTAAGATAAGATAAGATAACTCTTTATTGTCATTGCACAGTCATACATAGTACAGTAGTACAATGAAATTGGAAAACTGTCCTACGTCGGCACTACATATAACACAACACGATATGACACATCACAACGCAACACAAACAACACAACACAGTATAATAACTTTGTAATAAAAAAGAAGAATAAGTGTATTTGTATTGCACACTGTTATTATTGCACCTTAATTATTACTGCACCTTGTTATAAATATAAATATTATTATTGTTATTGTTTTAAACATTGTTACCTCCCCCTAAAAAAGTCCAGGGAGGTAGCCAATCAGGTCAGCTATTTGCATTGATCAGGGCTATTGCCCTGTTGTAAAAGCTGTCCTTGAGTCTGTTTGTCCGGGACCTCAGCAGCCTGAACCTCCTGCCGGACGACAGCAGCTTAAAACACCCGGTGTCCTGGGATTCAAAACTAAAGAACTCCTAAAGCTGCTGCTTTTGCAGACTTGATATTGGTATTCTTAAACAGATTACACCATATGATTTGTGAGGCTTAATTGGATTCAAAATGGGCAGAAGGCATTCAAAATACAGCGGCAGACTGAGTGTTTGCTGAATGAATATAATGATATAGGAAACAGATTCCACACAGCAGAAAACAGCATGTGAGCTTAACCTTCCCTTCCACATCAGTCTCTTATACTAAACTGTAACCAGAGTAAAGGGCAAAGTTGTCCTGTTCTCTCTGGAAACCTAAATCCTCACAGGATCCTCTCAGACATCAAAGGTTCCTCTGGTACAGTTGCAGTCACTGTCAGAAGGCAAGAAGTCAGAAATCTTTAGCTGGCACTTGTGCGATTTCCAACATTTACCCCGTTAGCACCACTTTGTAGCCAACCCTACAAAAACAATAAATAGTCTTTAGCGATCCTTTGTCATTATTTCTGGAAAGATACAGAAACATGATATGTTTTTCCAGTTTTCTTGGTGTGGTAACACAGAATATTGCCACATGAGAACAAGTGTTGTTCAGGCTTTTTCAAGCTCACTATCGTTAACATTTCTAAACCCCCAGTTTTTGCCTCATATGATGCTCCTTCCCCTCATATATCTTCCAGTTACGTTTTCACCCCTTTTAACCCCACCCCCCTTCATTCCCTGCATATATAGGTATTTCTGTCACAATGCAGTTAATTAGCTATTACCCTCAGAGACAGGTGAGTATTTGGTCTTCACTCCTTCCATTTCTTCTTCTGGACTGAATTAGGTAGGAGACCTATCAGGCCACTCCAATAAACCAAAGACCACCACCTTGCACTGCTATCTTTCTCTGTCTGCCTTCTAGACTTCCTGTCTTCAGTCAATTTCTTTCAGATAAAAAAAAAAAAAAGCTTCACTGCAGTTAATTTGAAATGGAGTCTGGAGAGAATGGCAGGTATAATGTGGTGATGGCATGAAAGTAGAGGAAGGGAAGCATGCAGTGAGGATGAAGGGCGGTAGGGTGGAGGGGGTCAAAAGCATAGCAAAGATGAGAGGAAGAGAGATGACGGTGGTGATGAACAGGACAGGTCAGGAGGGAAAAGAGTAGGAAGAAATTGAGGGAAAAGCAGACGAAAAAGCAGGGAGGGCTACCAGAAGATGGAACGGATGAAAGAGGGTTAAAGATGATTGTTTTTATTATCGTAATCTTTCATAACCAACACTCATCCCCCGATCATCAGCCCCCTTTGTTGCTGTAGGGCCTGTTTACTTTTCCGATATGCGATATCATATAGTACTTATTACCTTCATTCATGTCATCTTA